ATCCACTTATGAGTGAGTACATACCATATTTATCTTTATGGGTCTGGGTTACCTTACTCAGGATTTTTTTTTTGGTTCTGTTGAAAATTTCCAGATGTCTTTGTTTTTTAACCACTGAATAGTGTGTTCTATTGTGTAAATATACCACATTTTCCTTATACATTCTTTGGTTAGGGGGCATCTAGGCTGTTTACGGGTTCTGGCTATTACAAACAATGCTGCTATGAATATAGTTGAGCAAATGTCCTTATAGTATGATTGTGCATCCTTTGGGTATATGCCCAAAAATGGTATTGCCGGGTCTTGAGGTAGATTTATTTCTAATTTTCTGAGAAACCACTATACTGATTTCCAAAATGGCTGTATAAGTGTGCACTCCCACCAGCAATGGAGGAGTGTTCCCCTTACCCCACATCCTCTCCAGCATAAGCTGTCATCAGTGTTTTTGATTTTAGTCATTCTAACAGGTATGAGATGATATATCTGAGTTATTTTGATTTGTATTTCCCTGATGGCTAAGAATGTTGAGTAATTCCTTAAATGTCTTTCAGCCATTTGAGTTTCTTCTGTTGAGAATTCTCTGTTTACATCTGTATCCCATTTTTTAATTGGATTATTTGGTGATATGTTGTTTAGTTTCTTGAGTTCTTTGAATATTTGTAGGTCATCCCTCTGTCAGATGTATGGTTGGTGAAGATCTTTTCCCATTCTCTAAGCTGCTGTTTTGTCTTGTTGACCGTGCCTTTTGCCTTACAGAAGTCTCTCAGTTTCAGGAGGTCCTATTTATTAATTGTTGATCTCAGTGTCTGTGCTACTGCTGTTCTATTTAGGAAGTGGTTTCCTGTGCCAGTGCCTTTAAGGTTACTTCCTACTTTCTGTTCTATGATGTTCAGTGTGGTTGGATTTGTGTTGAGATCTCTGATCCATTTGGACTTGAATTTTGTGCATGGGGATAGATATGGATCTATTTGCATTCTTCTACATGTCAACATCCAGTTATGCCAGCACCATTTGCTGAAGATGCTTTCTTTTTTCCATTGCACAATTTTTGCTCTTTTGTCAAAAATTAAGTGTTCATAGGTGTATGGATTAATATCAGGGTCTATGATTCAATTCCATTGAGTCACCTGTCTGACTTTATGCCAATACCAATGTTTTAATGACTGTAGTTCTATAATAGAGCTTGAAATCAAGGATGGTGATGCCTCCAGAAGTTCCTTTCTTGTACAAGATTGTTTTGGCTATCCTGTTTTTTGTTTGTTTTTCCATATAAAGTTGAGCATTGTTCTTTCTGTGAAGGGATTTTGATGGGGATTGCATTGGATTTGTGGATTGCTTTTGGTAAGATTGCCATTTTTACTCTGTTGATCCTACTTATCCAAGAGCATGGGAGACCTATCCATTTTCTGGTATCTTCTTCAATTTTATTCTTCAAAGACTTAAAGTTCTTGTCCTACAGGCCTTTTACTTGTTTTGTTAGAGTTACCCCAAGATATTTTATGTTGTTTGTGGCTACTGTGATGAGTGATGTTTCTCTGATTTTTTTCTCAACCCATTTATAATCTGTGTATAGGAGGGCTACTGATTTTTGAGTAAATCTTTTATCCTGGCACATTACTGAAGGTTTTTTATCAGCTGTAGGAGTGCCCTCATAAAAATTTTGGGGACACTTGCTCACATATACTATCATATCAAATAGCGAAAGTTTGACTTCTTCCTTTCTCATTTGTATCCTCTTGATCTCCTTTTATTGTCTTATTGTTGTACCTAGAACTTTGAGTACAATATGAAGAGATATGGAGAGGGTGGACAGCCTTGTCTTATTCCTGATTTTAGTGAGATCACTTTGAGTTTCTCTCCATTTAGTTTGATGTTGGCTGTCGACTTGTTGTATATTGCCTTTATTATGTTTAGATATGTACCTTGTATCCCTGTTCTCTCCGAGACCTTTATCATGAAGGGGTGTTGGGTTTTGTTGAAGGCTTTTTCAGTGTCTAATTAGATAATCATGTTTGTTTTCAGTTTGTGAATTATGGTGGATTACATTGATGGATTTTGGTATGTTGAACCTTCCCTAAATCTCTGGGATGAAGCCTACTTGGATGATTTTTCTGTGTTCTCAGATTCACTTTGCCAGTATTTTATTGAGTATTTTTTGCATCAATGTTCATTGTCAAGGGCCATGAGAAATCCAGTAGGATAATTAATATTCAGCAGGCTGACCTACCACATGAGTGATAAGGGAGCTCCACCTGGCAAAGCCTGGAGTCACTTCCTCTCTTCCCTAAGAACAGCTTTGGGTGTTTCTCACTGCTCTTGTGTGTTTATCACATGAAAATATTCCGTCTACTGATATATGTATCTATGGGAAGTCAGGAGAATTACTTCATTTGGCTGTGTAATCTTGATATATGGAATAAATACTGGGTGCCTTGTATTCTTGAGTCAAAAGGAATTCCTTCTCACCAGGGCTTTAGCAGTAAGAGTGCTCCATTGCTTACCCTGAGGCTGGAAGCAGCAGATTCGGTAATCACACTACTGAGCCTTACCTTTTCTCTTTGGTATAGTGCTGATAAGTCCCCTTTAATTAGCTAACATTTGGCAAAAATTCTAATGAGGATGAAATGCTACCCATTTTCCTTATGCAGCTTATGCAGGTTACCATGGTTACCCTAATGGAGCTGCCTTGGAAGCACAGAGGTAAAGTATCTCTTCCTCTCCTCTTTTTCTACATTTATCAACTACAGACTTCTAGTTTAACTAACCACACAAATGTGGGTTTTACATACCAACCCCGCTTCTCCAGTTTAGAAATCATAGCCTCTTACTGCCTCTTAAGCTGTGCCCAGACATTTTACAAGTCACACACCCTCTGAGACAGGACGTGCCCTCTTTTGTCTGCCTTCCTGGCACTGAGAGACATGCATGCCTGCTATACTTGCTTTAGCCAGTGAATTGCTGATTGTGCCCGTATTGGGTATATAAACTGGAAGCCTTGTAGGATGGGGGAATAACTTTTTTTGAAGAATAAAGAGCCATGAGAAATATTTGTGTGAGCTGTTTTCCCTCACCCTCAGATCCTTTTAGTCAGCCCTGCCATCTTGCTGTTTAGCTCCTGGCCTGAACCATGAGAGAACTTTGAGACTGGAACTCAGATGTCCTCATTGGCTCATAATGGAGATTGGTCAGTGATTCACTTAGTTGTATCTTTGTGTGTTTTGGGTATCAGGGTAACTGTAGCCTCATAAAAAGAGATTGGCAATGTTCCTTCTGTTTCTGTTGTGTGGTACAATTTGAGGAGTATTGACATTAGCTCTTCTTTGAAATTCTGATAGAATTCTGCACTGGGCTTTTTTTTTTTGGTTGGGAGACTTGATGACTGTTTCTATTTCCTTAGGGTTATAGGTCTATTTAATTTGTTTACCTGGTCCTGATTTAATTTTGGTATGTGGAACTTATACAGAAAATTGTTCATTTCCTTTAAATTTTCCAATTTTGTGGAGTACAGGTTTTTGAAATATGATCTGATGTTCTCTGCATTTCCTCAGTGTCTGTTGTTATGTTCCTCTTTTAATTTCTGACTTTGTTAACTTGGATATTCTCTCTCTGCCTTTGGTTAATTTGGATAAAGTTTAGTCTATCTTACTGATTCTCTTGAAGAACCAACTCTTTGTCTCATTGATTCTTTGTGTTATTTTCTTTGCTCCTATTTTATTGATTTTAGCCCTCAATTTTGTTATTTCCAGCCATCTATTCCTCCTGGGTGAGTTTGCTTCTTTTTGTTCTAGAGTTTACAGTTGTTCTGTTAATTCATTATTGTTGCGTTTCTCTAGCTTCTTTATATAGGCATTTAGTCCTATGAACTTTACTCTTAGCACTGCTTTTTTTGGATTATTATTTTTTATTTTTAAAACAATCTTATTTTACATGTCAATCCCAGTTCCCTCTCCCTCCAGCCCTCCCACTCCCCACACTTTCTCCATCCCCCATCCACTCCTCAGAGAGGGTGAGGCCTCCCATGGGGAATCAACAAAGTCTGTCATCACTTGGGGCAGGATCAAGGCCCCCCCCATATCTAGGTTAAGCAAGGTATCCCTCCATAGGGAATGGGCTTCAAAAAGCCAGTTCATGCACTAGGGATAAATACAGGTTACACTGCTAATGGCTCCACCCAACTGCCCAAGCCACCCAACTGTCATCCACATTCAGTTGGCCAGTCTGGTCTTATGCAGGTTTTCCAGCTGTCAGTCTGGAGTCCGGGAGCTCCTACTCACTCAGGTCAGCTATTTCTGTGGGTTTCCCCAGCATGGTTTTGACCCCTCTGCTCATCATTCCTCGCTCTCTATACCTGGATTCCAGGAGTTCAGCTCAGTGCTTAGATGTGAATCTCTGCTTCTGCTACCATTAGCTACTGGATGAAAGCTCTGTGATGGCATTTAAGGTAGTCATCAATCTCATTATAGGGAAAGTGCAGTTAAAGTAGCCTCTCCAATACTGTAGGGAGAGATCGTACTTACTCATAGCGCTAACTATGCCCGTTTGGGCGTGGTCACAGGTACATAGACCATAAGGGGGATAAAAGAGCTGGGGGGAAGGAGACACTCGCTCTTTGGGTTCTGGTTGTGTCCCAGAGAGCAGCATGCAGACCTTTGGTTCTTGGCTTTCTTGGCTTCTCACTTAAGTGACTTCTCCCTCAATAAAATATCATAGGACATCCCTATTTGTGTAGCTTAATATTTCCGTATTACCACTATTGCTCAGATTCCTAGTTTGGGTCACCCTTGTGGATTCCTGGGAATTTCCCTAGTGCCAGTTTCTCGTTAACCCTATAATGGCTCCCTCTATCAAGGTACCTTTTTCCTTGCTCGCCCTCTCTGTCCTTCCCCCAACTCAATCTTCCTGATCCCTCATGTTCTCTTCCCCCATACCCTTCCCTCTCCTCCTTCCCCTCCCTCCCTCCCTCCCTCCCTCCCTCCCTCCCTCCCTCCCTCCCTCCCTCTCTCCTCCTCCAAATCTACTAAGGAGATCTTGTCCTAAAAGCACTTCTTAATATAGTTTCTGGAAGTCCTTGCTTATGGGCTGCTCTCTCAGCCACGGAAACGTCGCCCCTTAAGACCTCTCTTCCTCTGCCAGCTTTTGGGCCACTTGCTTGGCTGCTGATGACCTCTCTCTATCTCTCCAGGCTTCCGGGCTGCTCCCTCGGCTGCTGAGAGTCTCTCTCCTGGCTTCCTGGACCATAGGTTGCCTGTTGAGGGTATCTCTGCTAGCTTTCTGGACCATATATCGGTCATTGAGGGTATCTCTCCTGGCTTACTGGGCCCTAGCTCAGCCATTGAGGGTGTCTCTCCTGGCTTCCTGGACCATAGCCCGGACATTGAGTGTATCTCTGCTAGCTTCCTGGACCATAGCTCGGCCATTGAGTGTATCTCTGATAGCTTCCTGGACCATAGCTCGGACATTGAGTGTATCTCTTCTGGCTTCCTGGACCCTAGTTCGGCCATTGGAGGTATCTCTCCTGACTTCATGGACTCTAGCTCGGTCATTGAGGATATCTCTGCTAGCTTCCTGGACCATAGGTCGGCCATTGAGGGTATCTCTCCTGGCTTCCAGGACCATGGCTCGGTCACCGAGGGTCTCTCTCCTGGCTTCCGTGCTGCTTGCTCGGCCACTGAGGGTCTCTCTCTCTCCCGGCTTCTGTGCCGCTCACTCGGCTGCTCTAAAATAGATCATTTTTATTTAAGTTCTCACATTATCATGCACATGTTATATTATATAGGTATTGTTGATGTGACTGGGCTATATTTTTCTTTGAAAGTATAAAAGAATTAACTTATTTAACAGATATTTATTGGATATTAAATTCTGACCTAGATGAAAAGGTTACGCCAGTGAAAAAACATCCCCGTTCTAATTCTACATCTTGGTAATACTCTTAAGATCAAGTGATGGTCCCAGGACAGAAACAGGACTTGATTGTGATGCCCGCAATTCATGGACAAAAGAACTTTTGTTAATCATTTCATGCCTAGGACTGATAAAACACCTGCAGTCAATGAAAAAAGACATTTGACTTTCTCCTCACTTTTGACCATTTTTCTTTAAAAATTACTTCCATAGTCTCTTTTGATTACAGTTGTGTAAACAGGACGTATACTTCACCAATTATGTTACAAATAATTCAACTATACAATTATTTACTGTTATCTGTATTGCAAAAGAATTGATATTAGTAAACTCAAGGCATTTTTCAACTTAGAATGTGAATTTTTATATTATGTTTGTTGACTAGCAGACAGTGGGTTTAGTAAACTCATTCTAAAGAAGCTCTTAGCAAGAATATATAAGATTGGATTTTAGTTCTAATATTTTTCTAATGTAAAATATAGTTGAAAATCACAATATTAGGGCCCAGTGCAGAGATACCTTGTTCTGGAGGAATAAACTTGACAGCCTGTGCGATGTTGGAGATCACTGAAGTGAGATTGTCTTCGTCGATGGTCTGAATTGCAATGTAGAGCTTGGTACCATTTTCTATTTTCAAAGTTTCTGGTTTGAATTCAAAATTTTCTTTTGACCCAGCCTCCTTTGGCACCAGACCAGAAGTATTCACTAAAGTCGCATTGTGAAAATCTTCTTGGAGATCCTGAGAATGTTGACTGGTTCTGATGATGTATCTATGCGCTGGAAGAGACAGACACATGGTCTTTAGAGTCAGGACGGGTCTCTGCACACACTGCGCCTGCGTAGGAGTTACAGAGCAGCATGCTAAACTCCAGTGATGCAGAGCCCAGGTACAGTCTGTGTCTGGTTATCCCGTCTCACTGACTTTAAAGACAAGCATATGGACATTCATTTAAAAATAATGTGCAGTCACAAAATCACAGAAAAGCTAATTCAGTCTCATCAATACCAGCTCTCCACCCAGAATCCAGGTTTCCGTTCATAAATACGTAGGAAGAGCTGAACTCAGGAACACACAATGTTCATGTGCAGTGAAGACCGCGAGTATCTTCTGTGGTTTTTATTAAGATGAAAGGAGCCATGGGGTGGGCGGGGCACACGGTGACAGACAGGAGGGGAACCGCTGAGGGTGAGTCAAAGGGCACAGAAGCCGATGAGCACTGGATACACGTGTGCTCGGGACCTAGTCCACATCGATGGGCACCCCGAGTCTATTACTCTCCACTGTTCTCTTTTACATTAATTTTAATATTTGATTATGTGCATGGGTGTTTTGTCTGATGTATGTCTGTACCCCATGTGCTTATCTGCTGTGGTTGGGACTGGCCTGTAGGTGCTGGGAATGGGATCTGAGTCCTGTGAGCAAACGGCCATGCTCTTGATCTCTGAGGATGCTGTAGGAGATGGGGGAGGGAGCGACACAATCTTAAAGACCGATTTTTAGAGCTTTAAGGTAAAAATACAGGAACAACTCTGGCTAATTCCAACTTTCTTGAAGTTCAGGTTTTACATTAAAAATAAATGAATAATGGCCTATAGTAGAGACTCCATAAGTATTTTTTATGAGTGAGACCTTGGAAAAACTTTGGTAAAGAATGGCAATGAGATTTTATTTAGAATACATTATTGAATACATTATTTTTATGTTTAAATAAACATTTGTGCATACCATACTTATCATACTTATCAGCTCAACAAAGAACTGTATTCATTCCAGGCAACAAGTTTTGTAGTATCTATTCAAAACGGTAATACTGTCAATAATTTAATTTATTACAAACAACCCATTCTGAATACTTTAAAACTCAGTATCAAGCTTACCTCTTCCTCTGTCGAGGACCTTGCCAGGGGCTGTCCATGTCAGGTGAATGTGACTTCCTTTAAACTCAGCCTCCAGATCTGTGACTTTACTAGGTGGAAACACATGAGCGTGGTTACCACCAGGGGGCGCTCCAGACACGGTAAACGACCCTCCAGAGGTGAGTCTGCTGAAGTCTTCCACTGGAGCTCCTGTCTCTTGGATTTCAGGTCTGGGTGGATTCATTACAACTTTCCCTATGAAAAACACCCCCAGAAATTTGTATCTCCCATATTGTCTGTTCTTTATTTCATGCTGCTGACCTTACAGCTCTTCAGGGCTCATGTAGGTTGACGACAGACATTGAAAAGTGAGAGAAAAGCTTCTTTATATATGACTTTGATGTATGCTATGTTAAAACTAATGTTTATGCCAGGCGTTGGTGGCTCACACTTTTAATCCAGCACTCGTGAGGCAGAGGCAGGCAGATCTCTGTGAGTTTGAGGCCAGCCTGTTCTACAGAGCGAGTACCAAGATAGCCTCCAAAACTACACGGAGAAACCCTGTCTTGAAAAAAAAAAAAACAAAAGAAACAAACACACAAACAAACTAATATTTTACCTGTCTTAATTTACTACTTTTGCATGAGTTCCTTGATCACAGGTATTCATTCAACTCTCTAGCTCTAGCATTTAGCACAGGGTTCTTCCATGAGCTCAGGAAATGTGTTTTGTAAATGAAGCAAAGTGAGGGAAATGCTAACAAAATATGTGGAATATGGCTTATGCTGGGTCCACCAACATGAGCATCATTTTGAATTCCAAAGGCGATTGCATAATTATATACCTGGGATTCTACATAGTATTCCTTTCAGTGTTTGTTTTATAGAATTTACTGAAGCAGGTAACACATTTCCATTTTAATGCTACTCACCATCTTCAATATATAGAGACTTGCTCTGTTGTCTTAAACTTAGTCTGGCAGTGTTTTTTCTTGCCTGGACATGCACTTTTAGGCTGTATCTACCATTTCCATGATAATCTGTGAAATATCTTGTGTAGATGCCATCATTTTTAACAGTATCAGCACCTTGACAATGAAACACAACGATTAGTCATGCAGTAAGTTAAATGAAGATTGACACTGTTCACAAGCATTGCTGATATGAGTTTATCAGAGAGTATAGCACAGTTTAAGCCCTAGACAATAGTATTTTCATTCAAATCTTAGCTTCACTGTGTGCTAACTGTTATTTCAGAAAACATAATTCATAATAGGCATCCAGTTAAAATTAGTGCTTATTTTGATTTCACAATAGAAACTTGACCAGAAAACTCTTAGAACCGACAAAGATATTTAGCAAACTAGCAGGATACAAAGCCAAAGTAAAAAAAATCAGTAGCCAAGTTTTGTGCAACCACAGTTCTGTGAGCAATGAGGCTGATCCAAGGTCAGTTATTACGGATTGAAAAGGCAGTAGCTCCCCTATATACCAGTAATGAGCAGGCTGAGAAAGGAATAGGGACAACAATACTATTTCTAATACCTTTAGAAATACCCAGAAATAAAACACTGGAGGAAATTGAAAAAAGATACTATAAGGTGGGAAACCTTCCATGTTTACACATCAGCAGAGTTAATACTATGAAAATGGCTGCATAGCTAAGAGCAATCTACAGACTGATGCTATTCAAATAAAAATGTCCAGTGACATTCTTTACAGAAATAGAGAAAAATAATTATAAGATCTACATGGAAACCCAGAAGACCCAGAATAGCCAAATCAATCAAAAGTAAAATGAATAATTCTGGCGATATCACCATGGCTTGTAAGTCATACTACAGAACCAGTCATGAAGCAACATGGTTCTGACATAAGAGATACATACAGACCAGTGGAATAGAATAGAGGACACAGCATTAAGTCCACACAATGAAACCATGTGATTTTGGACAAAGATGCCAAACAAACACTTTGAAGAAAGATAGCATCTTCAACAAAGAGTACCGGGGAAATTGAACAAATAGATGTAGAAGAATAACTGGAATACTAGTTTTTGTCTTGTATGAACTCAATTCTGAGAAGAGCAAACACCTTAGTGTAACATCTGAAACTCTCAACCTGTTGGAGGAGAATGCTTCAGGATGCAAACATAGACAAAAGGGCTTTCTGTGAAGGACGCCAAGAACTTAGTAATACAATCAAGAACTGACAAATGGAACATGAAATTAAAAATTTCTGTATAGTAGACAAGCAAATGTGGCCTACTATATGGGAGAAAATCTTTGGCACCTATAATCTGATAGGATAGATGTCTAGAATGTAAAAATAATAATTTTAAAAAGTACCAATGACAACTCAATAAATGTGCCGGTGAAGTAAACATAGAATTTTCAAAGATGAAGTTCCAACATCCATTGATAATGATCATTGAGAATATGAGAGTGTCCAGTATCCTTTGTCATCAGGAAAACGCAAATTAAAAATACTTTGAGATTCCATTTCCCCTTCTCATCTCATCCCAGTCAGAATGTTTATTATTAAGAAGACAAATGATAAAAAATGCTGAAGACTTGTACTCTGTGTGTCTTTGTGTGTGTGTATGTCTGTAGAAGAGAAAACTCTTATACAACACTTTTGGAGTTGTAAATGAGTTGAGTCCCTATGGGAATCAGCATGAAAGTTTCTCAAAAACTGAAAATATAATGACTGTATTACCCATCCAGATCACTCCAAAGACTTCACTTGAACGTCTATGTTTCTTTCCCCACTATTCATAATAGCCAAGCTATAGAATCAGCCCAGGTGACTGTCAAAAGATGAATTGATAGTGGAAACGTGCTACACATACACAATAGAGTGTTTCACAGCATACAGAAGAATGAAATTATGCCATCTTCAGGAATATGGATACAAGTTCAGACTGCTGTATTGGGCAACATAAACACATGTAGACAAACCTCCACATTTTCTTCAATTTGTAGATACTGGATTTTATATAGATAAATACAATTATATATATCTGAAAGTAGATGTGAGGCCAGGATAATGAAGGCCACTCACAGGAGAAGCAAGAGAGAGGATGTATAGGAGGGAAATATGTTTACAGTATGGAATAAGCCTGTATGAAAGCCTATAAGCACGTACACTATTGAAAAAGAAGCTTACCAAAACAAAGGAAATATCACTAGATGGAAAAAGCATATGCAAAGTGCTAAGAATAATGAAAATGGAAAAATTGTACTTTTAATTTCCAGGGGAAACATGAAATTGATAATGAACTTTAATCAAAATAAGCATCTAGGCTTTTTTTTGTCAAGACAACCAAGCAAAATTATTTAAAGACATCATTACTCAAATAGATTTTTAAGTATATTAAAAACATTGGCTTTGAAGTTATGGAATTCTGTAGGAGTATTTCAACTCAGGGGCATCGATGCAGGTTCCCATTACCTGCCCCGTTGTCCCAGAGCTCCAGTGTGACTCGATGTCCAGCTTCAGCTTCTATAAAGGCTGTGACATTGGCTCCCAGAACAGGCAAGAACCCCTGGCTGACTCGTGCGTAAACAATCATCGGGCTAGGGTACTGTGCTGTCTTGTGACTCATGTGAGCAGTGGCGATTACTGGGAGTGTGGTAGGACTTCTTGCTCTAGTGGTCACTGTCACCGTTAGCAGCTGAGATCTGGCATTCTTATTTAAAAGACTGTAAGTCCAAGTACCTGTCTGGAAAAAAAAATCAAGAGCTTTGCTAAAATTTCACTGCTACTTGGGACAATTATTTAGAAATGTGAAAAAATATTTTTTGGGGAGTACCAGTGCTTCATGAATGCTAAACAAGCATCCTATTAGAAGTAGAGACTTATATTCCTAACCTTAATAATGATTTTTAATATGATTGTTAAAAAGATGAGTAATATAGATATGAATGCTTACATATTCTATTGAATTTTGAATGAAAACTACTCTGTAATAGTTTTAGTATCAATAATGTAACATGTCTTTATTTCTAAACAAGGGATGGATTAATGAAACAGTGAAAAAAATACACTTACTTCTGCAATGCCTGGTATTGGAAGTCGAGCAGAGCGAATATTTAGCTTATCATTTTTGAAATCTGAGGTTGTGTATTTTTTCCCCTTTGGATCATGAAGAATAATTACTGGCTTTTGTACTGTCCAGGTGACAACAAAGAACGTGTCATTTCCAATGGTACTATCCACAGGCACTGTACCACTTAACTGTTTTCTCCCTGAAATATCCAAGGCTTTGCTCTCCAACTGTTACAGAAATAAAAAGGAAACCCATAAAAATCATTTGTTGTTTTAAGTAATGAAATTTTAGTATTTAGGTAGTTCATGGTAATTTAAAATTCATATTAAGGTTCAATTACAATGACAAAGAATTAAAGCATTTTCCAAATCTCTCTCCCTCACACACATGTTGCTTTACCTTCCTAGGGTGGGTGAACTTTAAACTACTAGTGGCCAGCCACCCATGGCCATAGCCTGGGGGCAATTCTGTTTCCTTAGACAATGGCTCTGTTGCTGCCACTAAAAGTGGTTGTAACAAATTCTCTATATTCTGATAAAACTTAAGATTCAAAGGCTAGGGTGAAGACCTGTTAGTTCAGAGAATTAGAATAGAAACTGTCTAATGGTCTCTCTTTGTTGGGGTCCTGGAAGCCACTCCCTTCTACAAGGCCCCAGCTAAAAACCCATGCTAAGTTCCTCCTTGCTACTTCCTGTCAAGCAGTTGCTAACCTGCCTCACTGGGCCCAGGTTAATTTTATTTAATTAAGGCAATGCAACACATCTTTCTTAACAAATGCAGCATGAACAAATGCAACACATCTTTGCCTGGTTAAACAAATATTCTACAACACACACACACCTGAAACCTGACGTGTCTAAATCTTTACTGTGGGATTGAGTGGTATTTTGGGATTGAGCAAACACTTTGTACTTTATTTGAGGAACCGTAGAGACAGAAGCTTCTGTTTGGCGAGAAGAATAGAAATAGATAAAGAATTAATGAAGAAGGTACTGAATAACTTAAGCCATTTTGTGAAGAAGTGGAGAAAGAGGAAGGAACTTAACATGAAGGTCAAGGAAGAGACACAAATGAACTTTAAGATAGCAGATTGGTAACAGCTTCTACTTTACACACACACACACACACACACACACACACTAGAAGAATGCAAGAGAAGGTGTTTATTCATATAAAAGAAAATTCAACAATGGTGTATTTTGCCATGGAAACACCTTTTATACTTTTTATGGCAGAAGAATGGTTTATTGGAGAAAGGCCATGCAATAGTAGCAGAATAGGAATTTACAGCAACTAAAGTATTTTGCGAAGTGCTGACCTGCAGTGCCCGCTGAAAGATGTCTCCACTTCCAGATGAAATAGCACTGAAGGCATCCATAAGGCCAGTTATGTCTTTATTGGCATAAAAGTGAAGCCCTCCTAAATAGGAAAAGCAGATGTGCTATCAGCAATGCTCTTTAAAATCCCCTTGAATAAATTCCTTTTTATTATTAAATGTTACATTTGTTGTGTGTGTGTGTGTGTGTGTGCACGCGCGCGCACGTACAGTAGTGTAAGTGTGCATTGTGTGTGTGTGTTTTCGAGTCATAGGAAAGCTTTTTGGTGTTGCTTCTCTTCTTCCACCACGTTGGTCCAAAGGTTGAACTTGAGTTTGGAGGTAAATACCTGTTTTCACTGAGATGTCTCACCAGCCCATATGAACCAAACACTGTACAAACGATGAGTTTCTAAGAATCGCATGGACTTTCAGTGTATCTCTGAAGCTACAGTAAACTTATATTAAGCAAATATTATTCAAAGTAGACAAATAAAGATAAATGGGAAATGTGCGAATAAGGCAAGTTTTTTGATTGTATGTGAGCTAATCATCAAATGTAAGTGCATTAGTCAAATTGATCTGAGTACTGAATAATTTAAGAAGTCATTATATGAAGAAAATAGAGAAAGAGGAAGGAACTTAATTTGAAGGTCAAGGAAGAGACAAAAATTAACTTTAAGATGGAGAATGGTTAACAGCTGCCAGTTTAGGAACATCTGTCTGAAGTTGTACCTGTCATGGTTGACAGAGTCTCCAGTTCCTTGGCAGCAGAAGGCCCCAGAGCGATGGTGTGGATGATGGCACCACTGTGTTTGACCTCCTCAAAGCATGAACTTATTTGACTATCTTCCCCTTCTGTTAGCAATATGATTTCAGAACCAGAAGTCTTCTTATTACTGGAAGTGATTGCCTGTGAAAAGCAGTGTGTTAATTACACTCCTAATAAATGTAAGAACACATATACTTTTTATATCCCCTTTCTAAGTTGAACTGATATATGGAATGAGTAGAACACTAGATTTCTCAGTGCCTTTAGTCCTCACTATATATACATTTTGGGAACCCAATTGAGGAAGAACAAATCAATAACAGTTGCTGGCACATAGTAGCTTCTTAATGAATATAAGATGTTGTTATCATTCACTGACTGCTTGATGAAGACATGAGACACACAGGCAGTTGTAGAAAACTTCAGACTGAATAGCATTTACAAAATAATAACCAAGGTTGAGTGAGCAAAATCCAATTATTTGTTATGTGACTTTCTAATGTATTTTATTTAGTGACTACTAAAGAACTGTATGATTCTTCAAAAAGAAAGCAAAACTAAACAACTTTGACTTATCATGAAGGAAAGTTAATATATTTTCAGTTATAACTGGTTTTCATATTTTCTTGGCTATTCTTACTAAGAGTATTAGTTAATAGTCTATATGTTAGATACTTTGGTTTTAGGTACCTTGAGAATAAATTCTATTTTCTAAGCATGAATCATTATGTTTAGTCTTTCCTGAAACTTGCCTAAACACATCACGTACCAACTCACCCACCCACACTCTACAGATTGTTAGTTTAATGATCAAGTTTATAGACTCTAGAGATCAGGTTTTCAATTGTACATTTGGCAATTGTCTTAAGACCTTGAGATAGATTTAATTGCAGTTCAGCTTCTTTTTGTGAATAAAGGTCATAGTAACATTGCAACACCTAAAATGGTAAGGGTATAAGATCCTGCATCTCAAGCATTTACCACAGAGTAAGGTAGTATACAGTCAACACATAGCTACTTTTTAATGATTTTGAAAGTGATAACACCTAAGTATTGATAAGATTTCATTAAGTAAAAGCTGTTTACAATGTTGAATGTGGTTTGTTCACCATCTTTTCAGCAATAAACTTTGTGACCAAAATATAAGATATAATAAAATTTACTAAGAAAAACATACAGCAATTTATAGAATCATCTGAGTATATTTCTAATATATAGTACTCATATTTTAGAACCAAATAGACATATGATAATTATTTTCATAGTAGCAAATCTTTTGTAAACAATTACTTACTTTACATATTTACCACACTTAAATGAGGTAAACAATATTAATACCCATCTCACCTGGATTCTGGAAACCAATTTTCAATATTGAGTTACTTTCATAGACCTTTTAGATAATTCACAATAAAATGGGCACCTCAGGTTTCTAAAGCCAATCTGGTTTTGAGAAATTGGAGCCTCGAAGGAAGTTAAGAGAGACTATGGGCCAATGGTCTGCATATAGCAGCAGTAATGACTTTGACAAGTGAGGATCAGTGGCTCAAAACATGACCATAAATACACTAGCATGGAGGCTGACTGGGGGAGGAAAACTAGGTGAATACCTCTGAGTACACTGGCCAAAAGGAGCTCCTCATTTTTAAGTTCACAATCATGATTTTGTTTTACATCCGCCTATGTTCATTGCATATTGTATGTGAAACTACCTCTATCTCTGGATTTTTAAATGTAATTTAAATTAGTGTGTTATGATTTTATCCATACTTTAAAGTTGTCACTGCTTTCTTTCTGTGTATTCAATGGTGCTATCTCCTAAGCATAGAAACTGTCTGCGAGAATCTACATGTGTAGCTCCTCAGTGACTCTTTGATGATTGCTTGCCAAAGGAGGTTTCACCACAGCCACTCCCCAGTGCCACTGCATCCCAAGATTTTATCAGTGGAACAACTGGACACTGAGAGGCTGTGGCTGTCATGAACAGTCGGTGAAGCTACCTTCTTCTTCCAGAAATGCTTAGTCTGATTCAGATCACAATGTTATTAAATGCTGCAACCCTGTGTTCATCGCCCATGTTCAAAGCTGAATGAATAGGATGGGAAGCAGTAAGTAAATGGGAAATTATATTAATTTAAATGATTACCTGAAATCCTGCTTCAAGCCCTCTGCAAACTGAAGTTCCACCCGAAGCTTGCTGTGGGAGATTTGCAGTCATCTTTGCATAGTCACTACTATTAGTTTTTTTCATTAGATAATTTTGGATTATAGCAGTTGAGTCAAATGTGACTAATCCAACCCTAGATTTCTTTTCAACAATTTGAGTTAAATAAAGTTCTGCTGCTTGATTCATTCGAATAAGACGGTCTTCCTGTAAGAAGAAGATTCTCTCTAAAGACTGACAGATTAATAAAAAGGCACAGACATTCATGGGCCAGATAACATGGTAATAATTGATAGACTTTTTAACCTTAGCTCTTTCGTATTATTAAAAACTTTAAAATGTTTAAAAGTCAGTTGTTATTAGTGTAAAAGTCTTCAAAGTCTAAGCCACTTTATGAAATAGTTATCTATTTGCAAGTTTCACCTGAAGAAATGATTTTTAAAATGGAGAAAGATGCTCATTGGAATGCATTTTCAAAAAAGTAACACAATGAATATCTCCACTGGTAAGAAATTATTTGAGTAGATTATGGAACATTGTTCCCATGATAAAACCTTTAAACGTTATTTCTGTGCTCTTGATGGGATACTGTCCCAGAAGGCCTAGGTTATTATAAACTCCAGAGACAAGTGTGGGATACCTTCCTATGAATTGCTGACCAAGGAGGTTTCTAACCCTCCCCACAAACAGTATAGGTCATTGTTATTGCTGTTGGCTGCCCCCAGAACTAGGCAACACACATTGGTTGTAGGACACATAGAAATTAAACTGGAGATAGGCAAGAAGCATCTTCACTGTTGGATATCTCTCATGTTTCCAGGTGTATATAGGTTCCTGGAAATAAAAAAGTCAACCATGGTCTTATTCAATGGTGTCCCCTGAGTACTTTAACAACAACCCGACCAACAGTGTGTGTCTACTGGTGGAATAGACACATGACTCTTGTGGGTTTAATCAGTTGTTTTGAGATCAGATAGGTGGTCCTGTCTACAAGACAGAATTTGTGTTTCATACTTCAAAAATGTTCATGAGCCCAAGGCTGGTGTGATCACAGACCTTAGTAGGTCACCTAAGTTTTGCCAAGTGTACATATTATTAAATATGTAAATTTGCTTTCTAACTATGTTTATACGCATGGATTAATGCAGCCTTCAGAGTCCTAGTTTCTTGGTCATTCGTTGAGTCTTCTTTTTGCAGTGGGAAGTGGTTAATTCAGAGGCTCAAATGGTCAAAGTGCTGAGAATCAATGACTTTTGAGTGACTGATCAACCCTAAATGGCATATGTGTATCCTGCCTTCCCCGAAGTCCTGGAAACATGGCAGGAGAGGGGGTGGACAAAGTAAGAGCCGGAGCTGTGAGTCACCACCCTCTGGGTATGACATGGTCATCGCACTCACCAACTCATAGCAGCTGTGGTTCCCTGACAAGATCAAGTCCATCAGCATTTCAGTATGGATGAGGAGGACTCATGGGTAGTTAATGGCTTCTGGGGAAAGGGGGTTCATATTTCTCCACATGCAGCCACTGATAAACTGTCTAAGCTTACTATATTCATTTAGTTATTATATAACACCCATCAAAGTAGTAGGGATATTTGTTGAGATGGAGAGAGAAGGGACAAGACCGGGTGCTGGAGTGAACATGTTCAAAATATATACATTATGAAATTATGACAAAAATATTTTACAATTTATGTCATGGAGATGGGCCTATATGCCCACAATCCAAGCACCTGGGAGCCTGAGCAGATGGAATGACACAAGATTGAGACCAGTCTCTGTGACATAGTGCCATTTTTTTCATGAAACCATTTTTTATGAGGAGTGCTTATGGTATATTCCATAAAAGCTGACTTACAAAATATCTAAAATATAACAGTTTTGTAGAGGAAAAGCATATATAATAATAGTAAAACTGGAATGATACATTGAATGGTGAAATGGTAGGTTTTTCTTTTTGTATTTTTTTTTAGTAATACTGAAAGTTAAGGAGTAAAAATGACCAATAATCTAATAAAATAATTTGTTTTATAACTGATTCTATGTATTAATTTAGATAAAAATCATTGGGCACATATTTATTTGAACATATATATATATACATGAGTATTTATATTAGTTTATTAGAATTATACCTAAGAACAAATTATAGTTGTATATATAACTTAATTATTTAATTTAAGAAATTCAGTAAAAGGTGTCTTACTGAGTTCATGTTTTCAGATTTATCTAGCACCAGGCAGACTACCCGCTGCTTGGACCTCAGCAATGAAAACGTAGGTGGAGGCGGTGTTTCTGTCCCCGTCATGGGAGAGGCATTCTGAAAATCAGCAGACTCCTTGATTACGTCCCATGTGCTTTTGCGATTACACATTTTGTTTTGTAGATTTGAGGCTTCCGTATTGTGTGTCTTTTCTGTGCAAAATTCAACCACCTGAAAAAAAATCAATTCAAACGTGATATTGTAAGAACTCGTAAGGGATCCCCCTCTTTTCCAAGTATGAAGTTAGCTGTCACGTGCATCCTGAACAGGATTTGTCTCCCGACAAGAATCACTGTATAATCAGATGTTTGGACATGCATTGCGCATGCGCTGAGTGGAAGCGAGGCGAATCTAATGGACAGCTCATGGTTTTGGGAGGTTCTTTTGGTGCTGTGTAATTGCATGGGTGAAGCATGAAGGCAGCTCACACAGCTCCTTGAATTTGCTTCCAGCTTTCTCTTCTAGACTTTTGAGCACCTCACATCTTGAGTTAAGTTTAAGAAGAAAGGGTTAGGGCTACTTTCTAATGGTCCTTCAGAATGGTACAGGAGAAATGACTGTCTCTTATTGTCCATGCTCCTCATCTCCAAATGGACCCAGAAACTTGAGGAGAGACACTCACATCTCAGCTCATTATCTGTGCTGATGGATTCTGACATATAAAAACAGTCTGCCTGAAAAATTGATAAAAGTGCAGGTAGAAAATTAGAAAATATAATTTTTGCTCTGTGTGATGAATTGCATCTAATCATTCTGCCAGCGGATGTTCATTACTATAGACTTTGAAAATCCTCCAGGTTTCCAAAACCTGGAGCAAGAAGGACAGGCCATCAATTAGCACAGTGTCCAGAAGGAAACACCCTACAGTAAGCTCTCAGAAACGGTCTTTAACATGTTTGTTACATGTGTGCAGATACAAGCTCAGAGTCTGGACTAGCTGGATACATCTAAGTATCTCATATTTACACTGTAAGTGTGTGCTTTGTTTCTGACATGCTCAAATGATCAAATCTCCCAAATGGGGTAGTATTGGAAGAAAAATGGACGCAAACAAAACAATGCCTCGTATCGTTTCCAGGTGGGAGTGAATGCTCACCACACCAAGCCTCTCTTCCTCTTGCTACCCACATTGACTTTGAATCAAGCTTTGTGAGTGCCTGTTTCTTGTCTCTGCCCCATTCCTCATGCTTGTCAGCCTAGGTCTTCTGGTCCTATTATCTGTCCCACCAATGATGAGCCTTCAGGACATTGTGCTAACTGAAATAAGCTAGTCATAGGAAGACAAATGCTTTGCTCCTGTGTTGAGTCTAAGAAAAGTTAATCTAATAGAAGTAAATCCAGTAGGGGTTCACTGAAGCTGTGCGGTGTAGTGGAAAGGGAGATGGAAGCGGGTTAGGAGGTGTAAACTCCAGGAATGAGTTCCAGTGTTCTACAGGGTGCCAGTGTACATACTGGGAGATCGCAGCTACCATAATTCTGAGTTTCAAAATAAATAGCTATGAGGATTTTGAACATTTGCATCACAAAAAGTATGTGTTTGAGGTAACGAATGTAACAATTACTTCTAGATGATTATTATACATTACATACATCTATGGGGATACCACACTTTATCCTAAATTTTATTATGTATTTGTTGAAATTAGTTATTTTTATCAATTAAAAACTAGGAAAGTGAAAGATGGGCTAATCCTGAGAAAGAGTCATGAAAATATATTTTCCAACTAAACTATGGATTTTATAATTTAAAATCTATTAATTTTGTGTTCACTTTGTGTCAAGCATTGTTAATATGTTGTCTGTATCAGCCCTTATGAACCAACAATCAATAACAATGCAGACAGCACATTGTAGTTTTCAGTTAAAGAAGAGAAAACAGGGTCCTGAAGAGATGACTCAGCGTTAAGGGCACATGCCACTCTCTTGCAGGACTCGGGTTTGGATCGCAGCACCTATGTGGTGACTCACAGCTGACTGAAACTCTAGCACCAGGGAACTGGATAACTAGGGCCTCTGCAGGCTCCAGCAAAATACACACCAGGTACACACACACAGATATACAGACACGGGGACATAAAGACAGACACCCAACTAAAAATAAATGTTAAAAATAGATGAGAGAAATAAATCTCTGATTTACCAATTTTCCCTCAATGATAGTTTAAAAATGAAGAATGGGTTTTTCTACTGAGATATCTGATTCACCTCTTGTCACTCATCAGACATTTAAAGATATTTTAGGTCAAACAATAGCTCAGTGAACATTTTGTTGTTATATCGTTTCTGTGGAGATACCACAGTGCATATTTTACAATACCAAAGTTTTATAACTATTTGGTAAGCTTTAGTGAGAAGAAAATGGAAATTTGAGAATGTTGAAAGCTCCATTAGAGATTAGAAGAGTAACTTGAATAATGTCCAGGGAAGAATTAAAAACAGGGTTGTTACTCCAGACACAAGGTCAGCAGACATAAACGAAGGGAGAGATACTCTATGGTGGTGTCATGTGATTCTGTTGAGAAAGGTACTCTGCTACATATGAAGGAAAGACATAGGTTAATAAGAAAGAGCAGGACAATTCGCAGACACTACATGACACGGTCTGGAGAAAATGGCCTCAAATCAACTGTAAGTGTAATTTTCTTCCACTCTGTTTGTACACATACCATCAGTGGAAAGCCAGCTTCCATAGTTCATCTCCCTCCAAAGATTCTTTTTTTTCCAGAAAATAAATAGGAAGTACTTACAGAACTGAGGTTGGGCATGAACATTATGGAGTCCCTGGCAGTCTGAAATTTGTCTGGGATAAATGTGCATTTGGATTCAGAGAGCCCTATAGTTGAGTCACGTCGGCACGGCCTTACCTCGGTGCTGCCTCTCTGACTTTCACTGACCACGTTTGTCCCAGTGATCCCAGTGGAGCGTCTACGACAGAAATGTCAGATTACTGTGGTGGCTCTGGGTGTGGAGAGCAGGGGTGTGCACACCAGGGCAGCCTCTGCCAGTCGTTACTTCCTCAGCCCCCATTTTAAACTTCCTCTTTTTCAGTACTGGAAGTCAAACCTAGGCAAATCAACACCCTAAAATCTCTCTCAGCGGCAACTTTTACTGGTCGTCACATACCAAGAACTCCATTTTGACAAGAGTACATCCAGGTTTACCCATCCTTACCATGTGTTGTTATTTTTAATGTTTCTGTATGTTTGGCATATGTATTCATTGTGTGTGTGTATGGATGTGTACCTGTGGAGGTCAGAGGGCAACCTCAGCTGTTAACTTCAGTAATTCCATTCATCTCCTTTGAGGCAGTCTTCCCTTGGCCCGGAACTTACCCATTAGGTTAGACTGACTGACCAGCAAGCCCCAGGAGTCTTCCTTTCTCTCCCTCCCCAGTGCTGGGATTACAAACATGCACCATCAGGCCAGCATTTCTGTGTTGTGTGACTTCTAGGGATCATTCTTAGTTTCTCATGCTTGTATGGTAAGTACTTCATAGTCCGAGCCAGACTCCCCAAGAGAGCAGCATTTTAAGGTCATGTTTCTTAAACATCCATTGCTTGCTAACACGATCAATAAGTCTGTTGTCTTTGCCACCTTGAGTTAAAAAGATAGTAGTTCCTATATTGCAGTACTATTGTAAAGATTTTAAATGAACTAAGATTTACAGAAGCATTTTTTTTTGGTGGAGTGAGGTGAGCCAAAATTTTCGTTAGAATTCTCTTAAATTTCCACATATGATGTACACGGCTTTGACTTTATTGTATTCTTCACTTTACATTTTGATCTACATTGAAGGAGAAAGTACAAATAATGAACTCAACCATTTGGCTCCACGATAATGGTAATTATCCCTGGCAGGGCAGGCAAGGGGCAGCAGAGCAGGAAAAAAGGATTCTAGAGAGTTTCCATTTATAGGAAGAATTTTTTTCCCTTTTAAGCATTGTGATATTAGTTCACTCCCATAGGTTAGCTTTATTCCAAGGATAATGGAGATGTCTGGCAGATAATATCTTCCAAGAGAGTGAGCTTCAGGGCTAGCCTCAAAGCTGAGCTGACATATGATGGCACTCACAGTTTCTGGTGTGCTATAGGTCCTCAGGGATACACTCCTTTTATTGACTGGTTATAAGGAGATCCACTGATTATTCCTTAGTGTATAAAACATTTATTCTTTGATAATTCTTGTTTAGTTTTGACTTTGTGCTAGTCTCAGTATGAAGAGATTAAAAAAAAAGACATAGTCCTCAAGGATCTTAAAGTCTATTGAGAGAAAAAATTTTTGGACGATCAGGGCTGTGTGATAACACGTCTGAGAGGCCAGTACCTGTTGCCTGGACTCTTTTCCCAGCATTCCCCATCAAACCTCAACTGAGAGGAGAAGAAGGATCTAGAGATAATCTGTAGTGGGAAAGGGGGAGTAGGAGGGAGCATTGAGAGCTGCTCAGCTTGTGTGCAAGGCTCCAGGAAGCTCTACAGACCACATATCACAAAGAGGACGGGGCAGGCATCTTCTAGAACACACTTCATCTGATAGACGTTCTTCCTAACACTCATTGCCTCTTGGCATCCGTTTCTATTTTTCTCAAGACATTTAAAAATATTCTAAGTGTGTGTTTCTTTCAGTTTGAAGGTTTAAACACCTTACAACTTTATATGTAGAGTTTGGCTGCATTTACCCCAGAATTACATTTCTTAAAAAAAATCAAAGTGCTCACTTATCTTCATGAGAAATATGATTTTTCACTAACTTAGAAGTAAAGTATATTTATCACAAATTCCTCTAGCAACTTATTTGGTTTCAGTGAAACAGTAGGACCATAAAATGTTTTAAACACATAGAATAAAAGATGCATAGAGTGGAAATAGAAATGGGGCATTAGATAAGGTAAACAGGGGGCAGACAAATGTCGCATGTCTTCTTTCTGCACAGAATTAGTATAGCATACATGTGAAGAAATAAAAGTGTAAAATAATATAGGCTTCAGTTGTAATTTGTTGTTGGTGGTGTGTTTACTTGTTTCATTTTTCTGCTACCAATAAATAATGTTTGTAAAATTCCAGTGAGTACTGAAATAGGTCCCAGTACCTGACTCTCTGCATCCCAAGATGGGGACACAAGGAGTAGTCAGACATGTATTAACACACAATGGTGCAGCCTGAATATGTGGTGGCCGCCTGAACACCCACCCTCTCGTGCTGCCCGGAACAGAGGGATGAAGCCATAGGCAATAGAGTGTAGAATCAGTTTAGTTCACACTGTGATACCTTGTTGCTTCAATCTTGTTCTTTCCGGACATGTAGAAGGGCCGGTCTGTGTTATACTCATCAAATACTCCCCACCGGAGATGGGCCCACTCATGGACGAAGACTCTGCCTGAGGGAAGATTGTCATCTATAAAACTGTAGCTAAGATATTTGAACAGTTCCTTTTTATTTTCAGTCATTTTGTCCATTTCCAAAATTGAAATCCTTACAAACTCTAGAAATTTATTCTATCGTAAAGCCCCCAAATTCAAGTATGCCAGTTACAATAAGTGATCCATTATATTTATAAGTTTGGATGCACAAATAGGTGGAATGTAACTGCCATATTTTCAAACAAAGGTGTTACTTAATATTTACGTTTCCTAAAGTCTTAGAAATCCACATTTATAGTTGTGGTTTCCTTTCCCCCACTGGAAATAAGAAGTATAAAATGGATATTTCTACCTCGGGGTCCACACAGAGGCAAATTATCAGTCAGGAGGAAGTTTGGAGTAAAATGTATGTACTGTCCTCTGTCTCCACACTGTCCATACTGAAGTGTGTAGGGATCATCTCCATATTTCAGGTAAGGTTCAGCAACTATGACGTCTGCCTAACATGCAGAACAAACCCAGTCAGATCTCAAGGGTGACAGAAACAAGAGATTTTACAGACAAGATTGTCTTATCTAAACTGGTGAAAGTTGGGGTTGAGTGGATTAAGTGCTGTTTATCTACAAGGACTGGAGTTCTAGTCCCAACACCCACTTAAGTGCTGGGAATGTTGACTCATGTGTGTAACCCCAGTAGTGAGGTAGCAGAGATAGACTACTGGAAATTGTTCTCCCACTGGTCTATACAAGTTGATGACTCCTAGACTCAGGGACACACCCTATCTCAAGAAATTCAAAGTCAAAAGCACATAGAGGAAGACATCAAATATTGACCTCTGACTCCAACATGAGGATGTTCCTGTACATACACGCCTCCCCCCAACTACATACACCACTCACAGGCACACACACTACATACACAGGCACAGACATGCACACACATGCACACATGCTACACACAACACACACACACATACTATATACCCATATATGCGCATACAACTACATACCCACACATGCACACACACTACACACACACACACCCTATATTCACACACTACATACACACACAGACTTGCACACACAATAATTCACACTGTACATGCACGTGTACACACCACACACAGTACACACAGGCAGGTATACATTCACAAACACATCCTCAAATATGTGGCCCTATATACAAACATAGTCCATACATGCTTACACACATACACAAACAGCAAAAGAAAAGTTTTATTACTAATTACTAACTTAATGATTTTAATTATCAAACCCTGTAAGTATTCATTTAGAAAAGGCACAAGAAACAGTTTAGGGTCTGGATGTGACACCTACTTTGTCATATGATTCCCATTTTGGCGTTAGGTACTTGGATTTTGATTTCCAGGTCATCGGGACTAAAATGCTTACATTCCTGAAATAAAATCTTCCTTTGCTGGCTTCAAACAGGTAAGTAGAGGCTTGAGTTACCATTTCCTGGCAAAATTAAAGATGCATTATGGTACTAATATATTAAAAAAGAGCATGAACATCTGTACCCCAAACAGAAGACACTAATGGGGCTTCTCTTCCTCAAATGTGCTTGCACAGCATAACTGAAAAAATGGGATATGTTTTACTGAATCCTCCAATGTATAAACTCATTTCCATATGCCCAAGCCAACTCTTATTTTCACCTGCTCTCCCCTCCCTGAATGAAGTCTCTGGGTGGGGTACTAACATGATTATGATCACAGGTCTATAGGCAAGTAGTTTATTCATCAATTTTCTTAGAGTTGGTTTATTTAAACAAAATGGAGATTTTAAGTGTGGTAACATTTTATCTGATGTTATGTAGATTTGTTTTTGTTTTATTTTAAGTTATCACCCAAGTAGATTGTATATATAAAAAATCAAATTATAAAACATATTTTTTGAAAACTTCATGTACATCTACATCACTCCCTCTTTATTACCCCCTCCAACTCCTACCATAACCTTCAATCTTCCCACCAAGTTTATTACCTCATCTTTCACTATCGTTACATATATTTATAAATTTCTACATATACATCTGTATATATAACTACTGAGTCATTGTAGCATTGCCCAAGTACTAACAACAATGATAAATAAGACTGAATTGTTTCAGTTTGCTACTTGCTAATATCCTAAAGACCAATTATTCCATTTATAAAGGACATGAACCCTGTGTTGCTAACCATCATTGAGATTTTGAGAGGATCTAAGAGCAAAGTACATATTACACAAATGCTTTTATCATACAAATCAATTAGGAACAAATCAACTTCAAACATGTCTAAGGTTTTCATTAAGGTAAGTTAGGTAAGGATTTTAGGTTTTCCAAAATTGAGTGTGTAGGAGCAACTGGAGAAATGCATAAGACAACAGCTTCTAGGGTTTAAGTGTACATTTGCTGTGTTGACTTTGTAAAAGCAACATCATTAAGATAAAGCATGAGAACATTTCTCCACTTGCTCTAAAGTCTAACCTAACTAGTTACTAATTTAACACTAGTTTTAATGTATAATAAAAACATAAAGCTAGGTAGATACCCTCTCTCTCTCTCTCACTCTCTCTCGTGTGTGTGTTTGTGTGTGTGTGTGTGTGTGTGTGTGTGTGTGTGTGTGTGAGTGTGAGAGAGAGAGAGAGAGAGAGAGAGAGCTTAGATGCCTAGGTAAAAAGAATTACTGACATGCAAATATGCAGATAATTAAACTCTTCTTACCTTTATGCTTTGGATGAGTCTATCATCTTCTGGCACACTGGGGTTAATTGCAATGACCACTCCCTCGTATCCGTTGTTGTTCAGATGGACCATGGAGCTTTTCACCCCCTGCAGGAGATGCAGGCTGAGGAACAGAAGGACCTTCAGACCTGGCACCATGTCTGCACATGATAAGTGAGGTAGCAAGTCAAGGAGGGTATTTATGTGCCTGCGTCACTCAGAAATTTGGATCAATACCAGAATATTCACATATAATTGACAGAGAGAAACACTGACATCTTTTGGTGACCTTTCTTAGCCAATGTAAAGACTTAGCTGTTCAGTGACATGGGTGTTGTGGTGAATACATTTATTGTCGTTTCTAAGACAGTAGACAGTGTGGAGCTGCTACAAAACTTTACTAGATAAGTTCTGTTTTCATGCGTTTATTTTGTACAACTGTAGGTCTTCAGTGTTTAGGCGGGGGAATGAAGAGTCCTGATCCTGCCAGACTACCAGCAAAACAGGATACTTGGATAGCAACCAGGGAATTTTGGCATGCTCCTACTTCCAAGTGTTGACAACATTCCTCTGTTCCAGCCCAGTCTTGCTGCAGCCTTTCCTGTAAAATCCTTCCATGTTATCTGTCCTGGAACATCTTAGTGTTTTGTTTTCTTGAGTAGTCATTGTAATTGTTTTTTTGGTTTGTGGGTCTATATTTTATTACTGGACAAACTATACCCCCAATTTAAACATGACCAGGTTCCAGGTTAAAAATGTTCAACATCATCTGGTAGGCTTGATCGATGACCACAATTCAGTATAAACTCTTAGTCTTGCCAATGTGAGAACACAGATCCAGCTTCATTTTTCTGCAGTGTCTTCTCTTGGAGTTGTACCTGATTTTGTTACCTGTTTTCATATAAATCCATTGAGGAATAGGATGGTTTTGCTTTTATTTCTTGTCTGGGAATCACTTGAGTCTGAAATTCTTGTGAGAAGACATGATTAGAAGCCAAGTCAAGTGCATGTTGCATTGTAGAATGAACCATACAAAATCCAGAGACAGACACTGGGAGTCAATCTTCAAGCTGCAGATCAGAGAAGCAAAGCAGCTGACTATTAGCTCTTACCTCTTCCTCATACTGAAAGGTGATCCTGGCTTTCCCTAACCTCAGACTGCAATCTCAGACTGCCATGCCCTCCTCAGGGTGGCTGGAGAATCCTGAGACTGAGTACTGAATATCCTTGTATCTTTTATACCTCTCTAGTGGTAGGATTAAAGGTGTGTGATCTGATTCAATCTCAAGTACCCTGGGTGGCCTTGAAGTCAGAGAGGTCCATCTGCCTCTGTCTCCTGGGATTAAAGTTGTGTACCACCACAGCCTGATGTCGATAGCCTGAGACTGACTTCCTCAATCCTCAAGCAAGCTTTGATAAATCATATATAATATATTACCACAATTCCCCTTTTTTGTCTAATAGAAAAAGAAGGCTACAACCAACATAAAACTATATACAATAAGTACTATATATATGCAATAAGTTTGTCAACAATATATAGTACATCTGCATTTTACAAATTCAGAGAAAATACTTCATTATCTATCCTATCTTGGTCAGTCCTAGTCTTGTACCTAATTTATTTTCTATTCTAGTTTAAATTATCAAAATAACTTTTAATGTCTCTCAGACCATTTACACTTTATATATATTTAGTGAGTATCTGTTCTGAGTCTTGTAAATTATGAAAACTATAACTATACTAACTAATCTTTAACTCCTTCAGAAACCTAACAAGGAAATATTATTAAATGTGTAAGCAGGACGTTCAAGGAAGCGGCTTCCAAAAAATGTGAGAAATGACAGAAATATCTGACTTCCTGGACAGTCACCCAAGGTTCATGTGCAACGCTGGGACATCCATCTTTGGCCTGCAGTCCTAGTATCTCTGACAGACTTTTCTGTGAAGCAGGATTTTCTGAAGGTTTTTTTAGTCACTCTCTTTTGTGTCTTGTTTGTCCATTTTGGATAGCATGCTGTCAGCAGTCAAGGCAAGTCTTGCCCATTGGTTTACCTTTGCCACAAAGAAAGTATACTCCACATAAGTTTCTTCAGTGTCCATCATCTTCTCTGAAGTAGATTGGTGCTGCCACGAACAGACATGTCTCATTGTCATAAAATATCTATGTTATTAAAGCATTTTAAATGCCATATTCTGTAGATCTCTGATGTGTTTGAAGATGACTTGTCTATCTAAAATCTACCTCTGTTTGGCCTTATAACATGCCTAATATGAATACAAGTTTGATTGTAATAGGTGACTATGTACTAACCTACATTTTCTTATTAATTTATGCAGTTCTTAATAATAACTTTCAAAGACTATAAATTTACGTTATATTGATAAATGAGCTGTATAGGTGTAATACATTGAACAATATTAGAAATGTATGTACAATATGCTTTAACAAATTAATTTCAAATGTGTCAATATACAGTATTAGTATGCAATATAGAAAAGTACAATCCAATGTAAAATATTTAAAGTTAGTAGTTGTTTTTTAAAAGTAGATTCAATAATCTACCTTTTTATCTTATTATATCTATATCCTCCCTTTTTTTCTTTTCAAGAGTAGATGCAATAATCTATCATTTTTATTCTATCATATCTGTATCCCCCTTTTTTCAAAACAAAAATCTTGCGTCTAATCTCCTTTGTTCAACTTTCTTCTTTACTGTAATCAACAATGTTTTGTAGCCAATTTCTCAAACAATGACAAGTATCCATAACCCACTGACTGACCAAAAACCACTCCACCCCTAGGGAATATGGATGCCATGTTCTTAAAGTTACTTCCTGCTGTCTGGGGACAATGGAATATTTAGGGAATCCTGAAAAAAACAGTTGGGTTAACTGTCAAGTTATATCATTTTTGTTCAGTTTAAGCATAATGGGAAAGTGCAGGGCTTGGCTGAAGTCCTGGCTAGAGTAATCTGTGATGCTGAATCATCTCAGCTAGCTTCCTTTAAATTGTTCTGAGCTGTGTCTGTGAGGCTGGATTGTCTCAGTTGGTCTTCTTGAAATTGTTCTGAGCAGTTTGTAGTCCAAAGACCAGCCTCTAGTTGGAGTTGTTCAGCTTAATGGTCATGGTCCTGGAAAAACTGTTGGAGTGGGTTTCCTCCTCCTCCCCCTCCTTCTCCTTTTGAGACAGGGTTTCTATGTGTTAACAGTTCTGGATGTCCTGAAACTTGCTTTGTAGACCAGGCTGGCCTCAAATGATCTGAGAACTGTCTACATCTGCCTGCCAAGTGGTAGGTTTAAAGGTTATGTGTGACCTACACCTGGCTTGGATTCAATCTTCTTTTTGGAGGCTTTAGAGACTGAAGTATGTCTGATTATTTCTTTTCTTGGTAATTTTTTCGGGTAGCTCTCCCTTCTTTGGATACTTATTTGTGCAAAGGTTTTCAAATTCTTCAAGATGCTTGTTTTTATTTTCTTTTAAAGACAAAAACAAACCCCTTCCCCAACCATAACTTTGGGAAGGTTCCTAATCTAATCATTATCAATTTTGATTTATGGTTTCCCCTACATTTTTTGTTTTAGCTTCTTAAGATCTTCTGTCATCGAGAACAATATGTTTTCTTTCAATAGGCATTAGGTTGCTTAATTGTTGTAGGAAGGAGTTTCATCCAAGATGGAAGGAAATGAATGAACATGGTTTGGGCAATGAGATTTCAATAGGCCCCTCAAGGCATGTCCTGAAGGCAAAGGATTACCTTGATAATCTCTTATTGATTTACATTACTTAGTCTAATGTCTACTTTTGCCATACATTCTGCATAATCCAGAAAGGAGGGGCATTCTGTTCCAATTATGCTTAGAAAAAGCACTGTTGCTAGGAATGCACTGTTTACAATCCTTTTTCAGGTGACCTTGTCTGCCACAATTAAAATATTTAACATTTTGAATTTTCTTTAAACCTCTTGAAATCACCTATCCTGTCCGAGTAGCATCATCATCATGGCCATGAACTTCAGTATGAGTTGCATCTAAGATCCAGTCCTCCAGAGGACCGGATCTTGCTTTTTTTTTTTTTTTTTTTTTTTTGGTTTTTCGAGACAGGGTTTCTCTGTGGCTTTGGAGGCTGTCCTGGAACTCACTCTGTAGACCAGGCTGGCCTCGAACTCACAGAGATCCACCTGCCTCTGCCTCCCGAGTGCTGGGATTAAAGGCGTGCGCCACCAACTCCCGGCTCCCGGATCTTGCTTTTAAAGGCCTAATTATCCATTTGCGTTGGCCATTAACATTTTTGAAAGTCATTGTTTCAAATATTATTTTTCTAGCATTTGAGTTTCATATCATTCTGTTTACTGCCAATGAGAGTCTTTGTTAGAAGTCTGTAAATACTTCCTTTGTGCTTTTCTTTCTTGCTTCTCCAATTCTGTCCCAAGCATTCAAAGCAGCTGCATGGCACAAACCTAAGAGGTGATCATCATATAGACATTGATAAATCCCCCTCTACAGTGCCCACAACTTTAACCTCTCTCATTCTCAATTTCTTTAGCTGTAAAATGAGGACAACAGTATCTTTCTAAAAGGAACATTGCAAAAGTAAAATAAAATCATTTGTGAAGCCTTTGGTGGCCTACACTGCTGGATTATGTATGTGGTGAGACCATCTCAAAAAAAGCCAAAACCAACATGAAAAATAAACAATTAAGTGAATGAATGCATGAATGAAAAGAAAAAAAACAACATGTGTGACAGCATGTGTCCCCCAAACACCAGTAAATCTTGGCACTTTTCACCCACACAGAAGAAGATGAACTTGCTTTTCTATGATCTGTGCCTTCCTAGCTCTCTGTATGAGGACAGAATGGAGTCGGTGTGGATATATCCTCTATAGGACATGAAGACTTATGTCATGGGTTAAATTGGAATAATATTCAAAATACAAAACAGAGTGAGAAAGTCCTGTAGAGAGTTATAGCACAGAGACAGTGGGCCCAGAGTCAGAGAACAATTTCTCAATGGGAAGAGAACCCGGAAGAGGCCTTTGGGGTGAAGGAAAACTGAAGCCCGAGGGAGGGAATTTGTCCTAAGTTACAATTGCAGACAGGGCAAGCTTGGGTTTCATCTCAGGTTTAATTTTTTTCTGCAAGACAGAGTCTCACTAAGTAATCTTGACTGTCCTGGAACTCAGCAGAGATCTGCCTGCCTCAGCCTCCAGAGTACTGGTATTAAAGACTTGTGTCGTTATGCCTGAGATGCCAGTCGATCTGAAAATGATATACAATACATGATAGGTTTCAAAAGGACAACTGGAGAAGATTAACCTTGAAAATCATTTAGAGCAGTTCCTTTTGCTTCCATTTAAACAGTAGTTCTCAGCCAAAGATTCAAGAGAATCTGGACTGCTTTGATAGATTTTGTATGAGAAAAAGACTCTCTTTTTAAATATTAGGCAATACT